CAAACTCAAGCAATGTCATGATACTGTGTAAGGGCAAGAGAGAGTTCCCAGAAGCCCGACCCTCAGTGTCCTTGAGAGCAGAGAGGACAAAGTCACTTAGCCCTCCTGTGGCCTCAATTTTCCCTAACTGCAGCCCTGCCCTGTCTCAGTTGTCAGCCACAGTTCACAGCTCTTTGGCTGTGTTTCCTGTGACTCCACGCACCCCACACCCTCACTCTGCTCTCTGTGCAGATCAATCAAAGTCACCCTGGGGGCCCACAACATCAAGGAGCAGGAGAAGACCCAGCAGGTCATCCAGGTGACAAGAGCCATCCCCCACCCAGACTATAATCCCAAGAACTTCTCCAGTGACATCATGTTACTGCAGGTAAGGAAACGTCCAGCTGCTCTTGCTCTCCTGGGTCCAGATTGTTTCTCCTCTCACTGGGACCCTTCCCTTCCTTCATTCCCATCTTGGTCACCTGACCAGCCCCAGTGCCTCAGCGGGGAGAAAGACAGTGCAACGCCATTGTGGTATCCAGGCCCTGGGGTCACTGGCTGAACTGGGCTGTCTTGCTTCTTCCCATCAGCTGGAGAGAAATATCAAGCTGACTAAAGCTGTGAAGCCGCTTCGCCTGCCCAGGGGCAAGGACTGGGTGAGGCCTGGACAGAATTGCAGCATGGCCGGCTGGGGACAGGTTGCGATGGGCACTTTAGCAAACACTCTACAAGAAGTGGAGCTGACCATTCAGAAGGATCGAGAGTGCAGATCTCTCTTCCCCAGCTACTACCGCAGGGGCACCCAGATTTGTGTAGGAGACCCAAAGAAGAGGATGACCGGCTTCAAGGTCAGGTTTCCAGCGTTTACCTAGGCAGGTCCTGGGGGAGGGTAACTTGGGAGCTCTGGGGTATGAGAGTGGCCGTATCTTCAAGCCTCAGCCTGAGAGTTTGAACAGCCTAGTCCACAAATACAGTCTTTAGGTTTTGTTCTGAGTTGATCGGGGTGGAAGAGGGGAAAGGATCAGGCGCACAGCAGTGTCATCACCAGAGTGTTCCCTGAGGATTGCGGAGAAAAGCTTGGCGTGGGCCAGGCTGGAAAGAACAGTCAGAGCCAGGCTGGAGTTCTCTGACCAAGGTCGGCGACAAGGCCTGCCCTGGCCCCGATCTCCCATGCTGCCCCCTAACAGAGACCACCAACCCTTGGGGCAGGCAGGACCATGAGGAAGCCCAATTCAGTCCTCCCTCTTTCTGCCCACAGGGAGACTCCGGAGGCCCCCTCATGTGTAACAACACAGCTCAGGGTATTTTCTCCTATGGAGGAAACAGTGGGAAACCTCCAGGAATCTACATGAATGTCTCACACTTTCTGACCTGGATAAAGAGAACAATGAAGCGCCTCTAACAGCAGGCATGAGACTGATCTTCCTTTTGGTTGACCATCTCCCCCCGGGGCAGAGGCAAGAATTCCATTGGGGCAGGGAGGGGGCGTACAGGGCCATAATAAACAAATCTCTAGAGTGAGTACAACTGAAATCTTATTCCCTGAACCACGTTCATTAAGCAACTACACTGCTCTCGGGAGCCCTCTGCTGGCAATTCTGGGTTTTGCTTCCTTTTCCCCATCGCCCTCTTTCTTCCCTAAAACGCATGCAGCTTAGTTCTTGCAAGCACACCTCTTTGCTGCTTAGCCTTCAGTAAGGACTGAGTCTAAACTTCATTATTAAAGGACAATCTTCTTTCCCAAAAAAATAACTCTCTCTGGGCCTTAGAAAGTTCTTACTTTCTCTAAGCCAAACACCACCACCAACCCCACAACGATTTGGCAAAGAAAGGAGCAGGTCAAAAGAACGGGAATAATGCCAAGGACCCAGAGGCCATGGGCCATACCATGGGCACTCAGTTTTCTGTTTCCAGGGCCTCTCTCGTCACAGCGGGTAGGCTTCTCCCACAGCCAGGACTGTCTGCAGCTTAGGAGGAGACTGAGATGCTCCTATAATGGCCCTTATTTCACTTAGGTGCCATTCCCCTGCCCTGCCTTGGAGCCGGGGCTGAGCTCAGTCAACTGCCTTCCTCCCTGGTTGAACTTCCCACACCAGCCCCTGTTTTCCATCCAAGTGCCCTGGCCACCAGCACTTTCCCTCCCAGCTTACGCTATTTTGAGCCAGCCTCTCTCTCTCTCTCTTTTCCCTAATAGAGTGCCCAGTGTCCCGTGTGAATTCTCCTCTATTGTTTCCTCTCCAGAACTGAGCTGCCAGCTCACCTGATGCCTATTAGACGAGCCAGAATTCACTACCCACTTGTGCAAAACCAGCTCAGGCCCTCCTGCCAGCCCAGCATCCCCCTGGGGCTCAGGCACCACTGCCTGTGGAGTCACTCAGCAGCCTCAGCCCCTTTCAGCCTGGCCTGGCCTCGGGACCTGCCTCCCGCTGCTGGCAGCCTGGGTTATGGCAGCTCTATGAGCCAGAAGTCTCCAGACTACAGGGCTGCAAAGTACAACTCGGTCATCCATCAACAGGTCAAGTTTTGATCTCTCTCTGTGCCAGACACATAATAGCCTCTGTCCCTGCCACTGAGAGACACAGTGATGAGAAATTTTCCTGCTTCCTCTCCTTCCACCTGGCAGGTCAGTCTAGCACACATAGATCTGTATTTGAAATCCACAAGAAATCTTGTCTTGGAAATAATTAAACTCGCAGTATATTATCTGTTTTGCACATTACAGTTTCACATGCATGATCTTGTTTGATTCCAGAACAGCACGTGAAATATCTAAGAGACTTGGTGACCCTCAGTTCCTGAGGTTTCCAATCTATGCTCAGTGAAGTCCATGTCCAGAGGTGAGGGAGGAAGCTACCAGGGCAGCCTTATCTTTACTCACAAGGTCAAACAATTAAGTTCACTAACTCATCCCAGAAAAAGTGCTACACATCCCATTGCTGAATATCACTATGGTTACCTTTGAAGTACTCCCCTTGGGAAGCTATGCACCAATGCCAGCACCTAGTCCACCCTTCAAAGCAATTTTGGAACTCTTTTTCTGGAATGGCCATCAGAGCTGTTGTCATATTACCCTTGATGTCTTGAATGTCATCAAAATGTCTTCTTTTCAATATTTCTTTTACTTTCGGGTAAAGAAAGAAGTCGTTGGGGGCCAGATTAGGTGAGTGGAGAGGGTGTTCCAATAGTGATTTGTTTACTGGCTAAAAACTCCCTCACAGACCATGCCATGTGAGCTGGTGCATTGTCGTGATGCAAGAGCCGTGAATTGGCAAAAAGTTCAGGTCATCTAACTTTTTCATGCAGCCTTTTCAGCACTTACAAATAGTAAACTTGGTTAACTGTCCAGTTGGTACAAACTCATAATGAATAATCCCTCTTATATAAAAATAAAGGTTAGCAATATCGTTGCAACAAGTTTGCGAACTTAGTTGTCAGACCTCGTATATTACATGTAAAAGGCATAAGCCTCAGTCCACAAACCCAGAAATACCACATTTCAAGTGCAACACAGTTCATTGTGACCCAGACGGCCTTATTTTAGATCCCTGTATCGTTCAAACAGCAACACCAGTGAAATGGATATGACAGATACAACAAATTCACAAGAGCTGGACATACAATGAACCAGGTAGAACCCACATCCAAAGAGAAACAACTTCACTAAAAAAAAGATAACATGGATATGAGAAGCAAAATCCAGCACAGTAAACCTAAGATGAAAAGCAAGTAAAAGCTTGTTTTTCACACAATACTGTCTCTCCATCCAGCTGCCAAGTCTCCCCTGGGGCTCACAGGCTTGGCAGACGCACAGGTGAGAGAAGAGCTGAACGCATGTGCGGAGATGAGCAGGTAAACAGCAGAACATGCACGAGCCAAGCTTCAGGTTACAGCAGTAAAACATGACACTCTTAGGAGAAGCCATCACACAAAGGAAATAGAGACCCCAGATAGTCAGCCATGAGGAGCTCCACGGCGCCCCAGGATGTAAGTCAGAGCCAACAGCAAAGTGGCCAAAGATATCTGTCACCAGGGGCAAGGTCATGGCCTCAAAGGACAGCATCTGATGGGTCAGTCTTATTCCCTTACACCTGATAGGAGCCCTTGACACAGCATAACATATATTAGGAAGAAAAACTATTACTTATAATGACTATAGCATCATGAAGATGGTACATGTTTCCTTAAAGTGATTTCTAAGTATGTTTACATTTACTTCTCCCTCTTTTGATCTAGCAAATTTTATTTCTAGGGCCTTTATCCTACGTAAGGTCTAAAGTGTGTATTTGGGAGGGGGTCGTTATTTCTAAAGATGCTCATCACACCATTATTTAATAATAGACTCCAAATTGGAATCATATTAACATCTAAAATAGGGAAATAGTGACATATGACACATCACATTATTTATTATGTAAGCCATTCACATCTACATTATCTATCACTCCAGAAAACTAGGCTAAGGAAACAAAAGAAAGAAAGAAAATTATGCTAAGAACATTAATAGACAAATTTTAAGAAAAAGAAAAACTAATAAACATTTGGAAAAAAGTAAAAGCTCACTAACTAAACAATGCGAATAAAAATAATAATACATTTTTGCTTATCTGATTAGGAAGGATTTACAAAAATAATAATACTCAGATTCACTAGGACATTGAGAAAATGGCATTTTCACACCTCATACACAAACATCCTAAAAAAAAAATTTTTTTTAAGTCTTTTACCTAGCCATCAACCACACCAAGAAATGTGGAGAAGGTGATTTCTTAAATATTTGTTACACAAGTCAAATCTTAGACACAATGCATATGTCTAACAAAAATTTGGGATTAGCTTTTGCATTATAACATATAAGTGAACGATGGAATCTTTAAAGCTATGACATAGGACACATTTGCCACATGGAAGAAAGCTCAGCAAGCACGATTAAGGCAAAAGCAGGTGAGAGCTGAAACAAATAATAAATAAACAAACAAATAAATAAATATAAAAAATACACAGCATACGAAGTACTCATTTACACAGCAGGAAAAAAAAAGCAGGTTAGAGAGCAGTATGCATTCATGTGCCACTTAACAATGGGGATACGCTAAGAAATGGGTCATTCAGTGGTTTTGTCGTTTCGTGGACATCATAGAGTGCATTTACACACACAGATTGTATAGCCCACTAACAAAACAACACAAGATAATTAAATCAAGCACAGGAGAAAATGATGCACTCAAGAGATGTGGTAAATAAAGCTGCTGTGGGCCTAACACAAATACAGTTTATAACAAACAAAAAAAAATTAATAGGTAGAAAGAGCACACTCTAAAATAATGATAAAAAGCATACTACAGTAAATACATAAACCAGTACCATAGCTCTTTATTATTATTATCAAGTATTATGTATTGTACATAATTGCATGTGCTATACTTTTATACAACTAGCACTGCGGTGGGTTTGTTTACACCAGCATCCCCACAAACACCTGAGTAATGCATTCTGCTATGATAATATGAAGGCTATGTTGTCACTAGGTGATAAGAATATTTTAGCTCCATTATACCTTTATGGTACCTCCTTCATATAAGCAGGCTGTCTTTGACCAAAATATGGTTATGGCATGCATGACTGTACACAACCATCAAATTTTTTCGTATATTTTCCTTTTAGGCTATTTTCTCTTCCAGTATATCCTTGTTCCTAATTTTTCTACAACATTTATGTATTATTTGGATAACTTGAAAGCCTGTTTATTAAATATGAATTAGATTCTGACATGACATTCACAAATAAATTGTAATAAAATGTTTATGTTGAATAATTTAAACTATAGGATTCATAACTAAATAGAGAGGGTGCCAAAAACATGCATACAGGTCAGACATTTTAGCTTGCGAATTTGTTGTAATGATGTTGCTAACCTTTTTTGATTTCAGAGGGATTATTCATTATGAATTTGTACCAACTGGACAAACAGTTAACCAAAGTTACTGTTCAAAAGTGCTCAAAAGGCTGCGTGAAAAGTTAGACAACCTGAACTTTTCGCCAACAATTCAAAGCTCTTGCATCACGACAATGTACCAGCTCACAAGGGACTGTCTGTGAGGGAGTTTTTAGCCAGTAAACAAATAACTGTATTGGAACACCCTACTCACCTGATCTGGCCCCCAATGACTTCTTTCTTTACCCAAAGATAAAGGAAATATTGAAAGGAAGACATTTTGATGACTTTCAGGACATCAAGGGTAATACAACAACAACTCGGATGGCCATTCCAGAAAAAGAGTTCCAAAATTGCTTTGAAGGGTGGACTAGGTGCTGGCATCAGTACACAGCTTTCCAAAGGTAGCACTTTGAAGGGGCCATAGTGATATTCAGCAATGAGGTATGTACCATTCTTTCTAGGATACGTTTGCAAAGCTAATAGTCAGGCCCCATATCTGCTTCTTATAAACTCCTGCCCTTGAGCAGAGAATGGGAATTTTCTGACTGGTCTCTTTTCTCCTGGATGAAATAGGGTCTTAGATGTTTTCCATCCAGGCTCTGACAATTCTTAACAAAATCAAGTCACTGGGCCTTTTCTGGCATGCAGGGAACCTTTGGGGCACAAAGTCTTTCACCTTGAGTAGGAAGCAGGCAAACAGAAGTCTGCACTATGTCACAGCCTTCACTGAGCATTTCTTCAGGCTCAAGTGACCTGAGAAAGTTAAAATCAGTGGCAAAGCCTTGTTTTTCCATTTTCCTTCTCTGCCAGCCCCTTCTACTCACTCAGGAGACAAAGAGCTACTTAATGTGCCTTGACAACTTCTAGAAAGCCATGGGAGCAGACAGGGTCCCAGTAGAGAGGGTGGGGGCCAAAAGGTGAAGGCGGACAGGCTTCAATCCCAGAGGGATAGGAAATAGAAGAAGTAGGCAGCTGGCAGCTTTCATGCCTTGTGGGAGTATTATTGAATTGGGTGAATTTAAATTCTGGGGTGACGAAGTGCCCAAAGCCCCTCTCCATGTGCCCTGGTTCCCATTTCTGGGGCCAGTACTGACTCAGCAGCTTGGGAGGTCTGGTGTTCGCTTGGGTTACGCTTTCTTCCCCCAAGTCACTGGCAGTTGGTGGGCAAACCTCCTGGGCAGCGTGAGTGATGCAACCTATCACACCAGCAGGAGCATGGGACTGTGAAGCCTCCAGTCCCCACCCCACCCTTCCTTCCTCTCTGGGGGCTAAAAGTCTGGCACGAGGAGGCACCAGCAGCCACTGACTGAGCAGCCTTCCCAGGAAGATGCAGCTGCTCCTACTGCTGGTGGCTTTTCTCTTACCTCCCAGGGCTGGGGCAGGTGAGTGACCATCCAGACCCTCAGAGGCCCAACCCCACCCCATGATCTCTGGAAGCAAACTGCCTAGGCACTCCCTAACTCTGTGTCATTGGGCACATTATTTAAACTCACAGTTCCTCATCTATAAAACAGGAATAATAGCAAAGCCTACCTCTTTGAGTTGCTAGGACAGTTAAATTAGTGTCCGTGACACTTGGAATTGCACCTGGCATGCACGTAGTAAAGGCCCTATAACTGTGCTCTCTGAATTCATTCTGCAGCTCATTGTCAGAGTCTAAGGGACAAGGATACAGCAATAACAGTCCCATCAGCTTATGTCTAGATACATAAAAACCAGTTCCATGCTGGCCATGAGCTGGCCATGAGCTGGACTCAGAGGGAATAGGGAAGCTCCCTGAGGAAGACAAAGTACCAGGGAACTTCAGGGAGAAACCACTCAGGGAGGTGGGAGTGAGCCAAGGTCCCAGGTGGGGAGCCAGCAGTGTTTCCTTCAAAGCCCTGGAGCCCTGGCCCATAATGTGGTACCCTGCAGACCCCAATTCTCACCCCAAATACTCCTTCCCCTGCATCACGTCTCCAGCCTCCCCGTCTTCTAACCTTTCTGAAGCCACCCAGCTGTGAGTTCAGCGAGCGCAGAGATGAGTGCTGAATTCTTCCTTCCAGGGGAGATCATCGGAGGCAACGAGGCCAGGCCCCATTCCCACCCCTACATGGCATATCTTCTGACTGAATCACCAAGGGGACTCAGCACCTGCGGGGGGTTCCTGGTGCGAGAAGACTTTGTGATGACAGCAGCTCGCTGCTTGGGAAGGTGAGGAGCTAAGGAGTTTCTGAGAGTCAATGAGGCAGGCCCAGAAGTGTTCATGACAGCATCTGTCTGAAAGCAGGGTTCTAACAATTAAGGGTTGAAGAGACTGGGTAGGTCCTGGGGGTCAGGGATCAGGCTAGTGTAAAGGGAGACCAAAGAAGGAGATGGAAGGCACGCTTTGGGGATCAAAATATGAATTCTTTTTTTTCTTTTTTTTTTTTTTTTTTTTTTTTTTTTTTTAGCTGAGCCATCCTGCCACCTGTTGGCAGCTCAGCGGCTGCGTAGCTCAGGCTGACTCGAACCGCTGTTGCTCAGAGCTCAAACAAAATATGAATTCAAGATAATTCTCAATTTATTCTATAGGAGGCAAAACTTAAGGTCACTGTGTCCTCCACCATCCCCAGCTCTGGGCTTTGGAGAAGCAGAGAGCTCATTTCCCTCAGCTGCAGCCTTGCTGCCCTGGGCTGTCCACCTGCCCTGCAGAGCTGGCGGGCTTTAGCTCCCACGGCTCATACCTACCTCTAGGCCTCCATTCCTTTGCAGCCGTATATGTGTCATCCTGGGGGCCCACAACATCACGAGGCAGGAAAGGACCCAGCAAAGCATATCTGTGCTCAGAGCCATCACCCATCCTGGTTATAATGAGCAAAACTACCTGAATGACATCATGTTACTGCAGGTACCACGTGCCTGACCCTCTGGTCTCCAGCTGAAGTGCCTCCCTCCCAATGTGGGGGCTTCACCTGTCCTGTGACCATGGAGGTGGAAGGAGGGGCAGAGTCCCAGGGGGTGTGGGGGTGTGGGGTGAGTGCTGCACAGACAGTCCCTAACTACCTGCTGTCTTTCTGCCAGCTGCAAAATGGAGCCAGGCTGAATCGATTCGTGAGGCCAGTGGCTCTGCCTCAGAGACAGTCCAGGCTGCGTCCTGGGGCTGTGTGCACTGCAGCCGGCTGGGGCCGGGTCACCCTAAACAGGAGAACAGACACACTCCAGGATGTGCAACTGACAGTGCAGAGAAATGAGGAGTGCAGCAGTCGCTTTCAAGGCTACAACGGCCAAAGGCAGATTTGTGTAGGGGACCGAAGGCAAAGGAAGACCACCTTCAGTGTAAGACCACGGGCATCTGCCAATGGGCCTTAGATAGAGGGGTCTGGGCAAAACTGGGCCGTGGGAACAGACTACATCCCCACGGCCTCAGTCTGGGAGCCAGATCAGAGCACATGGTGCTATTTCAGCCAGGAGAAAAGAGCCCATTCAGAAAATTCCCCTTCTCTGCCCAGGGTCCAGAGCTTCTAAGAAGCAGATACGAGGCCTGACAATTATGTTCACAAACTCATCCTAGGTTAAAGTACCTTGACTTGGGTTGAGCTAGAAACAGTAATGTAGCCAGGGTTCAAGCCAATGTAATTGAAGATCCAGGAGATTGGCTTCTGCCACCCCAACACCCTCCCATCTCACACACACCCAGCAACTGAAAGAGCCCACCCACCCTGCCTCTCTGAGGTTCAAGCCTTAGGGCAGCAAGACTGGAGAGCAAAGAGACCTAGCTTAGTGTCCCTTCCTCTCATCACCCACAGGGAGACTCCGGAGGCCCTCTGGTGTGTAACAATGTGGCCCAGGGTGTTGTCTCCTATGGAAATAGGGCAGCGACTCCTCCAGAAGTCTTCACCAGAGTTTCAAGTTTCCTTCCCTGGATAAGAAGAACAATGAGACGCTTCAAGCAGCGAGAGATCAAACTAGACCCCCCTCCTGTGACTAACTCTTCTCCGGGATGGAGGCCAGCTCCAGCGTGATTGCCGGACCCATAATAAATGTCCATGTCTAGAGTGTAAGTAACCAGTTTCTCGTGTGTTCATTAAACATCATTCATTACATTACAAATGTATCCAGGGCATTCTGAGCTCCTCCAGGAAAATGAGGCCTTTCCCCTGGACAAATGAACCTCCCCACACACCATCCTGGGGAATTGGATGAGCTACTTCCCTCTTCCCAGCCATCCGTTCCCCATCTCCCATTCTCCCATGGCCTCAGGAAGTGATGGAGGACAGATGTCTCCCCAAGGTAAGGCTCTCTGTTCTCCTTCAAGTCCCTACCGGAGGCTCCCCTACAGATACTAAAGTACACTCTAAAATGCTGTGCCACTGGTGTGTGTAGGACAGGCAGACCAAAGGGACCAAACTGAAATTCCATACTAGGATCAATTTAATATATGCCAAAGGTGGCATCTCCAATCACTGGGAAACAATGAACTTGTCATACATGGTATTAAAACAACCTAGATAGATTTGGGGGAGAAAGATCAAATCGGAGCCACTCCTCACACCATAATCCAAAATACATAACTCTCAAATGGGTCAGAGATCTAAATCCAAAAAGTTAAACCATGCAAGTCCCAGAAGAAAGAAAAAGATCTGCTTGCTTAAAAATAGTTAATGAACACCCTTTCACAGTGGCCAAGGGATGGAAGCAGCCCAAGTCTCCGTCGATAGCCAGGGTCCTTCTCCCAAACCCTCAGGCCTCCCAACGCCCACTGTAGTGTTGACCAGCATTCTCGTTTTCAGTGTGACAATGGTCGGCTTCCTGTTTTCACACTCTAAAGTTACATAAACTCCACCCACAATGTTGACTAAATTACCAAGGCTTTTACCCTAAAGATTAGCCCATGGCTGTCTACACCAATATTACATCTAAAAAACAAAACTACTGAAGTCACAGAACTTAAAATCACGCTCTAAACACCTTCCTAAGATGACAGTACAGAATCAGCTGGGAGGTTCTACATCCATCAAAATGTTCATTATTCCTTGCAATGTGACACTGACCACCTGAACTTTTGCAGTTTCCATACTCTAAATGGAATGATCACTGAACATATATCAAATCCAACTGGCTATATACAGAAATGCCTTAGTAAATTTGACCATTATTTTATGGGTATTTCTTGTCAGACAGTCATTTGCCTAATATTCAGTGTAAGTCATTTATCAACAAAGCATCTTTCACAATGCTCAGTCATTCTGTCTATATTTGCTATCACCTTCCCATAGGATGGATCTATTGCTTGCATGTTCTTGGGATAACAGCCTCATTATTAAATGTTTGCATTGGCAAATGGAAAGAATACTTGAAGGTGGGGCAGAGCAGGAGAGAGGGTGGAAGAACCCTCATCCAGCCCTTCCTCTCTATGACATATACTTAGAGTTCCAAGCACCACCCAGTCTCAGGACTCAATCCCCAGGAAACACCCAGGACAGACCCATCTCACGTTCATGTCTTCTTCTGCCAGTGTGCACTTTCAAGGCAGCTCTCTGCCTCCAGCTGCCCTGCTGGAAAGGTTTCCACAGACCTCCTGGTGCTCACCTCCAGAAGACAATTCCCTTCAGGACCATCCCAGAGCCAGGCTCACCACCTCCCACAAGCTTGCATGAATTCATTCTCTTCCCTCAACCACCAGGATGAAGCTGAGGTCCCTCCTACCTTCTCCTGAAGGTGTTCAGATGAGATAAAGGGGCCTGTGCATTCCTCCTCTACTCTTTCTACAAAACTCACTGTCCTGAAAAGAATGGTGGATGCAGTAGAAACATACACGGCATTGATGATGGTTGCAAAACAATGGGAATGTACTTAATGCCAGCAAACTATGCACTTAAAAATGATTAATAGGTAAATTTTATGTTGTGTATATTTTACCACAATTTAATAAGTCATTGTTTAACATCCCTTGTGATACAAAAGGTCCAAATCTCTAATGATAGTAGATGTTATTTGAAGGAAGTGGGCAGCAACCTCCTCTGCCCATCTCCAGCATTGTTGAAGCTACTTCTACTTTTTGAGCACTCAGTTCCCAGGTCACCATATCTGGCTAATGTCACAGACCTCAGAAATAGTTCCATCTTAGCCTTTCCCCCCTTGAACGTGACACTAAAAGTAATTACAAATTGCAAATTCATTAATGATAACCTCACACAAGCATTCAAGCTTCTCTACCAGCATAATGGCTAAGCCTAGGCATAGGTTCCTTCTGCCCTTGGTCAGAGCAGCAGAGTCGTGATCAGCTAGATGTGGGTCAGGCATGACAGGGATTGAGGAGGGCAGAAGGAGAGCAGAGAAAAGCAACTGCCTGCCAATATTATCTAGACCCATGGGGAAACCTGGGACAATGAGGGCCTGAGCCACATGTGGGGAGGAAATGTATCCCAAGGCAGTGTCCCAATAGCTCAGAGGAAAATGATCTATCAGAAAATGTGACAACGCTGCCAAATGTACAACAAATTAGCTACAGAAATTGTGAGAACTCTCCTCATTCTATGCAGCAATATGCACTCAAATGATAAACACCTGTTATTGGCCAAAGTTATATTCTTTCTTATTTGATTTTCTATGCTTCCAAAACTTCATAAATATTGTTTAAGAGGTACTTAATAACCCTGCTTTTTTTCCCCATTTCTATTTGCATGGAATATCTGCATCCCTTTATTTTCAGTCTGTGTGTGTCTTTTGATCTGAAAACGGCCTCTTGTAGACAGCCTATGGATGGGTCTAATTTTCTTATCCATTCATCTACCCTATGTCTTTTGATTGGAGCATTTAATCCATTTACATTTAAAGTGATTATTGATAGGTACATATTTATTGCCACTTTATTATTCATATGTATGTTCTTTTCTTTTTCCTTCTTCTTCTTCTTAAAGAAGTCCCTTTAACATTTCTTGTGATAATGGTTTGGTGATGTCTGGGTTTTTGTAGTTTGGTAAGTTCTTTATCTCTCCTTCAATTTTAAATGATAGCCTTGCTGGGTGAGTAATCTTGGTTGTACTTCATTGCTTTTCATTACTTTGAATATCTTCTGCCAATCCCTTCCGGCCTGACCTGAAAAGTTTCTATTGAGAAATAAGCTGATAGTCTTATGGGAGCTCCCTTATAGGTAACTAACTGTCCTTCTCTTGCTGTTTTTAAGATTCTCTCTTTGTCTTTAATCTTTGATATATTAATTATGATGTATCTTTGTGTGGGCCTCTTTGAGTTCATCTTGTTTGAGACTCTCCATGCTTCCTGGACTTTTATGTCTTTTTCCCACACTGGGTTAAGAATGTTTTCTGTAATTATTTCTCAAATAGGCTCTCAATTCCTTGCTCTCTCTTTTCTCCTTCTGGTATCCCTATGATGAGAATGTTGTCATACTTGACATTATTTCAGAGGTCCCATAGACTGCCCATGGTTTTGTTTGCTTGTTTGTTTTTATTATTTAATTTTTTGCTGTTCTGAATGTGTGTTCTCTCTTACCTTGTCTTCCAAATCGCTGGTTCAGTCCTCTGCTCTATCTACTCCACAGTTGATTCCTTCTAGTGTATTCTTCATTTCAGTTATTGTATTCTTCATTTCTGAAGGGTTCCTTTTTTTGGTTTCTATGTCCTTTTTTATGCTTACTATCTCTTTGTTAACATTCTTACAAAGTTCCTTGAGCATCCTTACAATCAGTGTTTTGAAAACTGTATCTGGTAGATTGTTTACCTTCATTTTATTTAGTTCTTTTTCTGGAGTTTTCTCTTGTTCTTTCATTTGGCACATTTTTTGTCTTTTCATTTTGGCTGCCTCCCTGTTTTTGTTTCTATGTATTAGGTAGATCTGCTATGACTCCCAGTCATGGCAGGGTGACCATACCACATGTAGCTTGTGTCCTGTGGGGCCCAATGGTGCATTATCCCTGATCACCTGAGCTGGGTGCTCCAGGAGTGTCCCTTGTGTAGGTTGTGCATGCCCTCTTGTAGTTGACTCTTGATTGCTGTTGGGTGGGACTTACCCTCAAGCTTACTGGCTGTCATGATTGGCCATACCCACAGCATATGAGCTGCTGTTTGGGAGCTGACCCCATGGAGTGAGATTCACCCCAGTGGGCTCTGGTGTCTGCCAAGACCATCCTTTGGGTGTGCCACATATGGGGTCAACCAGATGGTACTCTGTTGCAGTCTGAAGCTGGCCACTGGGTGTGTTGGTTCTGGAGCCTCCTGGGAAGGACTCCGATGCAGGCCAAGGTCAGTTGCTGCCTGTGCCCAGCCCAGGGTTCCCTGGAAGGAGCTACAGTTGGTAGCTGCCTGTGCTGGGACCTGGAGGTATGTGGGAGAGGCCACACTGTGAACCGAGGCCACCCGCCACCACTGAGCCTGGGGCAGTTCAGCCAAAGTTCAGGGCACTGAGGCCTGCTGCCACCTGCTGGATACCCCTAAGGCTCAGTGAATAAAAGAGCCTTGGGGGCCGGCCGAGTGGTGCATTAGTTAAGAACTGGCTTGGGACACCAGAGGGCCCCAGTTCGGATCCCACATATGAGGGCCAGTGACACTGCCCTCTACAGCTAAGATGCTGCAGCCCCTGTGGCAGTGGGTTGCCTCGGGCTACTGTATGTAGCCAGCAGCCAGCGTGAGTGGCCAGCAGCTGCAGTGAGCGGCCGTCCAGAAGCCAGCGAATGATGTGCCTCGCC